AAAAAAAAAAAAAAAAAAACATTACAGCATAGCCCAGAATAATTCATTTCTTCCCACCCCTTGCTTAGCCAAAGCATCAGTCAAGCTATTAGCATCTCTCTTAATCCAGTTAAGCTGATTTTCCATTCCTTGAAACATACCTCTGAACTTCCTTTTTCGTTTATATACTCCCACCATTCCATCTCCTCCTCCTTTTGTAGTCAACCAATAACAAGCTTCGAATCCCCTTCAATTATCAACTTGGAAATATTTAACTCCTTGGCTTTCTGAATTCCTTCCTCATTTCTGAAAGCACCCCCAATGCCAGAAGGTCCAGGATTGTCCTCACTACTACCATCAAAWTTCAATTTGAGAAATCCATTAGATGGAAGGGTCCAGGATGGTTTAATTACAGTTTTCAAAGGAATAGAGTCAGCTACTTCCCCCCACTTTCTCATCAGATCTGCAGCAGAAGCTCCTTCAAAAACTTTCAGAGTCTTCACCCGATGGACCACCCTGGTTGTAATTTCTTCAATGAGGGCTTCCCTATTTCTTTCCTTTTCTGCAAATAATCTTTAATTTCTTTCTTCCCAAATTGTCCATTATACAGCATCTCTTGTACATCACAAAGTGTTACCTCTTCTTTTCTTCCCACTAACGAAGGTGGGGTAGAAGAGATTTTGTACATTTGGTGGGGGATTYCATCTGCACCCAAATAAGGAGAGAAACCAATCCCAAATTGGGAAAACAAAAGGACATGATATCAATAAGTGATGGGTAGACTYGCCATTAGCCTTACAGAAAAGACACCAATAAGGARATAAGCACCAGTTAGGTCTTTTCTTTTGGAGCAAGTCACAAGTATTAACCTTACCAAGAAATACTTCCCAACAGAAGCATGCAAAGCTTTGAGCCTATATTGTTAAGGTTTTGGGCCTTTTGGCTAACCTAAGAGTCATGTWAAGCTTTGTTATTAAGCTTCGTTTTAACTTTTAGGAAAGCACATGAGCTTGTGATGTTTTCTCAATCCTACTGAACAACATTCCATATTTTTTTTCTTCAGATTCTGCATCTCCTTTATGACAAAGACATACTACAAGAAGAAGCTATTCTCTCATGGGCATCTGAGAAAGAAGGGGCAGATGAATCAGATAAAATTTTTGTTAAGCAAGCAGAAACATTTATTCAGGTTAGAATATGTCCTAACTTTTCTTTTTATTTTCTATGGAATGTTTTTTGTCATTATTATTATGCAATTATTTTCTGTGTTCTTTTTATTCCCACTTTCCACTTAACAATAGAAGGCACTTGTTGTGAGGTGTGTCTCATGTTTTGGTATTAATTTTTATTTCCATTGTAAATATCTGCTTAATAGCTTTTAAATTAAAAACTAGGCTATATTCCCTTTGAATAAATTATTTTTAAATATAATGGTCATCCTTTTAAATGTATAGAGAGATTTGATATTTATGTCTTGTAGGCAAGAAACAAGAGGACAAGGGTTCTTAAGAGTTGGATTACAATCTTCATTTTTTATTTATGGGAAAATTCCAGATTAGTGCCCTGTAGTTTAGGGGTAGTGTCAAGTTAGTACCCGAACTTCAAATTGTGTCACTGCAGTACCTAAGCTTCCAAAAACTGTCAAGTTGGTCCAAAACTGTATCATATAAAAGGACAAAAATGC